GCAACACACGGTCAGGCACACGAATGGGAGAGGGGGGTGGTGAGGGGGGTGGTGATGATGACGATGGTAGCGGGGTGTGGTTGTGACTGCGGTTGTGGGTCTTGTTCGTGGTTCGTGGTTTGGTTGTCGTTCTTGTGTTTGTTGTTATTGTCGTCGGCGTTGTTGCTGTTGGTTCGTCTGTGTGCTGCAGAAGCACACATTCTATCCTTCCCATACTCACACACACACACACATACACACACACACACACATACACACACACACACATACACACATACACACATTTACACTAACTGCGTGTGCGCGCGTGTGCACACACCAGACGGAGACGTTTGCGCCCGTGTATCTCGAGCTTTACAAGAACATCTTCAACATCAGTCTCTGTCCAGGTACCTCGCTCATGCCATCCTGCCCGCTTGTTTCTTGTGTGTGTCTGCATATGTGCGCTTGTTTGCCTGTGTGCCTGTGTGTGCATGTGTGTATGTCTCTGTGTATGTGTACTTGTTTGTCTCTGTGCATGTGTCTGTGCCTGCGTAAAGTCCCTCGGCTCATGATCCTTCTCACACCAAACACCAAACACCAATCCCCACCACCGCCACCACCACCATCGCCATCATCGTCATGGCGGGTGCAGCCGACCTGGACGCGCCGCTGCCGTCGAAACACGAGCTCGCCGACCGCCGATTCGTCATTGCAGACATCTTCAAGGAGGTGATCATCATCGTGGTGGTGGTGGTGGTGGTGACAGCTGCTGCTTGTGCGAATGGCAACGTGTGATCTATGAAGGCGTGTTGTTCGAGTTAGAATTTGCGTCTTTGTCCTCTCCGGTGTTCCCTTTCAATTGCACACGTGATACCACCTCACACAGCCCTCACCACCACCTCCACCACCACCACCACCACCACCACCACCACCACCACGATGATGACCACCACCACCACCACCACCACCACCACGATGATGACCACCACCTCCACCACCACCACTGCGTCACTACTGCGTCACCTGGTCATCACTGTGCACCAGACGTCGCACGTTGTTGGCCTCCCTGTGCTCGTGGGATTCATGGCGGAACAGCTCGACCCGGCACACGACTGGCCGGTGGGGTGATGGTGGCGGCGGTGGTGATGTGATGGTGGAGAGGGGATGGTGATGCAATCGAGGGCATATTGAGGGGTCTGAGCTTCTGCTGCGTGCGCTTTGGTTGTTCCTCGTCAAGCGTCGTACGTATGCCACTGTCATCATTGTGATCCCCACCATCACCATCACCATCACCATCAGGTGCAAGAGGCGGCTCTGTTTGTGGTTCACGCTGTGGGTCCCGTGCTCGCAAAGGACGGATCGCATGTCAACAACATCCTCGCATTCATCACAGGTGCCGCCGTGTGTGTGTGTGTGTGTGTGTGTGTGTGTGTGTGTGTGTGTGTGTGTGTGTGTGTGTGTGTGTGGTGATGATGATGATAATGATGATGATGGTGTGATAATGGAGAAGGGGGGGGGGCTTGGGTGCATGCAGACGTTTGTCGGTTGCAGGTTTCTGCCCTCTGAAGCCCAATCTCATATCATCACTCCACCTCGCATCTCCGCCATCACACCCATGTGTACATGTATGCGTGTGTGCGTGTGCCCTCAGGTCTGACTGCCGAGCACCACGTACAACTGCGCAAGACCGCCGTTCGCGTCACAGGTACTTGTTTTGTGCCCGTATGTGCCCGTGTGTGCGCGTGTACACGTGCGCGCACGCTGAAAAGGCTTGTGCTATCATCTACTGCGCCATCTGTGCACCGCACTCACATATTCACACACACATTCACACGTATTCACACACACATTCACACCACCACCACCATTACCACCACCACCACCATTACCACCACCATTACCACAAGGGGACCTTGCGCCGTGGATGGACCGCCACCCAGATGCGATTGACCCGTGCTTTGCTTTCCTCTGCCACGCCGTGCAGGTGATGCTGACGATGGTGACGCGTTGTGATGGTGGCGGTGGTGGTGCAGATGGTGACGCGTTGTGCTGGCGGTGGTGGTGGCGGTGCAGATGGTGACGCGTTGTGCTGGCGGTGGTGGTGGCGGTGCAGATGGTGACGCGTTGTGCTGGCGGTGGTGGTGGCGGTGCAGATGGTGACGCGTTGTGCTGGCGGTGGTGGTGGCGGTGCAGATGGTGACGCGTTGTGCTGGCGGTGGTGGTGGCGGTGCAGATGGTGACGCGTTGTGCTGGCGGTGGTGGTGGCGGTGCAGATGGTGACGCGTTGTGCTGGCGGTGGTGGTGGCGGTGCAGATGGTGACGCGTTGTGCTGGCGGTGGTGCTGGCGGTGCAGATGGTGACGCGTTGTGCTGGCGGTGGTGCTGGCGGTGCAGATGGTGACGCGTTGTGCTGGCGGTGGTGCTGGCGGTGCAGATGGTGACGCGTTGTGCTGGCGGTGGTGGTGGCGGTGCAGATGGTGACGCGTTGTGCTGGCGGTGGTGCTGGCGGTGCAGATGGT